GTCTGGAGCTGGGGCAGAACTGTGATCTGCTGCTTGCATGCTCTGTGTGGGAGTGTGTAGGATCACGGTTCTGCTCTGCCTCTGGACCACGCTGTCACCGCTGCAAGATGCCAGCACTGCTGGGCCTGCTCTCCATGGAAACCTTGGTCCCTCGCTGTCATGGCCTGCCACTACTGGGGTCTCCATGGAAGCTGACTGCAGTGATGTGGACAGGGACTGCTGGGTAATGGAGTGTGCCACAGCCCAATTCAGCCTGCAGGTTGGACTTTGCCTGCCCCTGAGTTAGATGCAGGGGTGTCCAGTTTGACACTAACACAGACATCTTATTCAAAATGGCAGTAGTGGAGTATGTTCAGTGTCTGTATTTTCCAGTCCCTACAACCATTCTTGCCTAGGTGCTGGATCACAGTACCTGTGACTGCACATGTACCTAAATGTTTAGGCAGGACTGCACTTAATATATGACATTAGAGGAAAGGCACATACCTACTGGCTAAGGCAGCACAGGGCACCCTAAGTATTCAAAGACCAGTTTTATCCTTGTTTTGCACATGAAAAAAATTAGGCACAGAGTTGCAATGCCTTTACCAAAATCATCCAGCAGGCTGGTGCCATAGTGGGAAGTAGGTCCCAGGTCTCCTGTGCTAGTTAGAACACTTGTGAAAGACTTTTTCAGTGAAAAATGTCAACTTGTGAAGAAATGCAGATGTTGCTTTTGATGGAAATTTTGTTTTGAAATGAAGATGAAAATAAACAGCTTCAATAGTCTTTTGGAGTATAACATTTTGCTTTTCCATTTTGAAATGTTTTTGTTTTAGCTTAATTGTATATAATCATTAAAAAATTAAAAAGGAAAAATAGTAACCAAATGTTTCAGTTTTGTTGAAATGAAATACCAAAAATATTCCAGCTTTTCTGGATATTTCAGCTTGCAGAAAGGGGAAAAAAAATCAGAACCATATAACTTGTTTCTAGACAAAAATCCTGCACAGCACCAGAGGTATACCCATAATTCCTCCCTTGATCCCTCAATGCTGTGGGAAGAAAGGAAGTTGGATCAGCCTTTTTTCTTAGAATGACTGTGTTTATCCCATGTACCATGTGAGCTGGGAGTGGTAGATCCAGTGCTGTCACTCCCAATTCCTCTTTATCCCACTCTACCCCACTGACAGTCAGGCACCTTCCCATGGCCAAGGTCAGAATATGAGCTGTGCGGAGCTAGGAACTCCAACAGTTCCCATAGTGTATGGCTGAGAGAGGATTCATAGTTTCTAGGGTCGGAAGGGACCTTAGCAGATCATCTAGTCCGACCCCCTGCCATGGCAGGAAAGAGTACTGGGGTCAAACGACCCCAGCAAGGTGTTTCATAGTTTCATAGTTTCTAGGGTCGGAAGGGACCTGAGCAGATCATCTAGTCCGACCCTCTGCCATGGCAGGAAGAGCACTGGGGTCAAATGACCCCAGTAAGGTGGTCATCCAACCTCTTAAAAACCCCCAGGGTGGGAGCCTGCACCACCTCACTTGGAAGCTGGTTCCAGACTCTAGCCGCCCTGACCGTGAAGTAGCGCCTCCTGATGTCCAACTTAAACCTTCCCTCCGCCAGCTTGTGACCATTGTTCCTGGTCACTCCTTGCGGCGCTCGGGGGAACAGGGACTCCCCCAGCGCCTGCTGATCCCCCCTAACCAGTTTATAACAGGCCACAAGATCCCCCCTCAGCCTTCTCTTTTGAAGGCTGAACAGGTTCAGGTCCCGCAACCTTTCCTCATAGGACCTACCCTGCTGTCC